GCGCATCGAGGAGTTTCCCGCTGGCCCCCCACCCCGTCCCTCACCGTGCTGGCTCTCGGTGTGCCCTCACCTGGCGATGGCCATGGCCCTGAAGCTGGTGTGCCCCTCCGAGACGGCTTTCTGGATGGCGGTGCGCTCGGCGCACACCCCCAGGCTGTAGCAGGCGTTCTCCACGTTGCACCCTGCGGGGAAGCCCCCAGCACCCACTCAGCCACCCCAACCCCGCTGACTTCCCTCCAGGCGATTTTTTTGGGGGGGTGAAATTTGCAAAGAAAAGCCGTTTCCCACGCGCACCGCCCGATCCCGGGCTCTCACCAACACCTTTCCCACTTCCCTTATTTATTTCCCATATTTTCCCACCCGCCGCGATCTTTGGCTTGCTCTGGGGTGGCGGCTGCCAAGAGGTAGCCGGGGGAGGGGACAATGGACCAGCACCCCACGCCGACCCCGCTGCACCCCCATGCATGGCCAAACGGTTGCAGGGAGGGACACCAAAACCCGAGGAGGGGCTCACACGGCCACGGCTTACCGGAGAAGATCTCCCCACCGGCGGTGAGCAGGGCGGCGCCCACCGGGAAGCGGCTGTAGGGGCAATAGGCGCAGTTTTTGGCCTCCCGGCTGCGACGCAGCAGGAGCTGCAGGCACTCACCCTGGGTTTTTTTTTGGGCAGCGGGGGCCGGGTGCTGCCCGCTACCCTCCATGCTTGCGCCCGCCTGCCCTGCCCGCTGACGTTGCGGTTAAACATTTCCTCGCCTGGAAAACAGGCTGGCCGGCCCCACCGGGATAACGCCCCGGCGTGCGGACGAACCCCAGGAAGCATCTCTGACCCCTAAAGCATTGGGCTCGGGGAGTCCCGCACCCCCTCCCCGCCTGCTGCCTCATTTTTTCCGATTTCTCCTTTTATTTTTTTTTCTTTTTAGTTACCTCCTCCTCCTCTCTCTGTCCCAGCACCTCAGTTTTTCCACCGCCACCTCAGTAGTGTTTTTTTCCTCCCCACTTGAAAACTGGTTGCGCGACTCCACAGGAAAATGTCATTAAATCGCTCCTGGGGTCGGGGCGGGGGACACGACACAACAGCTCCTGATCAGTGAGATCAAAAGAAATAAATTAATTTAATTGCAAACAGAAAAAAAAAAAATTATATATACGACATTTTCCTGTTCCCATTTACCAGCAGGGAAAGCTGGCTGGAGACAGAGGCGATAAAAGCCCGTTTCGGGATGCCTGCTCGTGCCGCTTGAGCCCGAATTCGGTTTGGCTGGTGCTTCCACGGGAATCAGCCCACATGGGGTAAAGGGCTCCCAGGATGCCGGGCTGACCAGCAAATCGGTCTTTAATTAAAGCCCTCACTTTTCTTCTCCTTGCTGGAGGAGCTTAATGCTCCGTTTTCTGGCTGCAAGGACGGGTGTCACGGCCCCCGTTGATTTATCACTGGGATTTTAATCCAGTTTGATGGATTTGGGGAGCATTTTGACCTTACCTGCTGGTTTTGCCAGCAAATCTTGGTGCTGGGTTGCTGCTGACAAGCCATGACAGGCTGGGACGCCGTGCCCGATGTGGCAGAGGCTTCTGAGGTGGTGTAAACTCTGGGAGCTGAGAACGGAGCACGGGGCAGCGAGAGGACTACAGGCACCCCAAGAAATCAAAGCTGGGATGCTGAGATCAGTATTGTCCCAGGGGACCCACCTTCCTTGCACTGTGCAGATGTTTGTTCACCCTGGAACCTAATGACGACAGTTAGCTATTTGCAAGGCCAGTCAGTCAAGGCAATAGGCGGCTAGAGAGGAGGAATTGGCAGCCCTAAATCAGCTCAGACCCCTTTTTTTCAGCTTTGAAAGTGCAAATCCTGGTGTTTTCCCCTCTAAAATGAGCTGTAAATGCTCCTGCACCCCCCCCCCCCACCCCCCA